GGAACATGTAGCTCACATTAAGCTAATGAATTACATTACCCACAAGCTACTACGAGCTGCTCCCCTGTGTGCCTTGTGAAATATTTTTATTATAATATTATCATTAATTTTACCTAATCTAACATTAACTTACCTAAAAGGATCCATATTTTTATATTTTTTGTTACTTTTATAATTATATTAAAAAGAATAAACATGAAAACAAAAAAAATACTTAATCTTCTTTTTTCTTACTCTCAATTGTCGAAGGGAGTTAACCCTAATTATTTAATGCTTATGATAGTAATGCACCTAATTTTTATTTAATTAGATAATACACCAAAGAATATAAACTAATAACATGCAAAAAGTAGACAAATTCCTTTACCTCTCAAATTTTATCTGTCTTTCTAACTATGCGACTAGAGTCACTACAAATTCATCCAAGCTAGTCATTAACTTTCTCATTGGAACAATTTCGGTACTCTGAGTGAAACTGACATTTAACCATTCTAACATAACGTTATTTGATAGATAAAAACCTTGACTTTCTATTGGTTATAGGTTAATATACAATTAAACGAAAGAGAGAACTATTAATGAATTTTAAAATGAGGATGTGACAGGTAGGTGTAGCAGGAGGGGTTCAATTTTCTATTTGATAGCTCTGTAACCAAATAAAATTGAAGAATATAAAAATTATGATTTGTCTGAGCAATGATGATTTTATAGAGAGTAATCTATGTTTAATTTCGTACTTTTTGGAGGGGTGGTGGATAAAATAGTGAAACTGACATGCTAAAAGAAAATGTGTCATGCGAGTCACACTAGGGGAAATTCAGGATTTTTTTAAATATTCTCTTGTATAATTAAGAACTTAAAACTTGTATACTAATAACATATTAGTTATCAGCTAAGATATTAGGCTATATTAATTGGTATAACATAAACAAAAAGTAGATTAATAAAATTTTGAATGTATGACAACTAAAACCGTAGTAAAGAATACCCATGGCAAGAGGGCTAATCAAATTGCAAGTGCACTAATCAATATCACAAAATATCAACAACTCAAAATTAGCATTCCTGATTATTCCAACTATCCAAGTAATCAAAATATTACCATTATAATTTCACATTATTATTTTTGATTAATTCAAGTTGGTTAAACTTAATTGATTACTGTCACATACATGGAAATAATCAATTAATCAAAATTAATGTTTCTGATTATTAATATTTAATATTATTGAATATTCCAGCTATTCAAGTCTCATGAGAATAATCGATTAGTTGAAGGTAATTGGTCAGCTAGCCCTATGACTAATCAATTATTAAATTCCACTGATCACCTAAACTCTAATAAAACTGTGTAGTGCTATGCAGTGATCATGTGACTAAAGGCAATCTAAACAGCAATAACTGTAAATTACACACTGTAAACCGAAAAATAGCATGGCTTTACAAGTGCCAAAAATATATGTGCAACAAGTCACAAAGTTATGAAATAATTCAGTACATAAATTGTGAAATATAATACTTTATTGTAACAGTCATGAATTTTTTTTTAAATCCCCCCAATTTTCACAAGGCATTATCAACAACATAAACGCTCTGAGAGTAATTCATAGCTTTAACCTTTCTACTATAGGTGGGTAAATTCTACCCAGCCCATATTCCCTAAAGTAACCATAAGGCAGTTATACTGTAACTTTTTAACATGTAAATATATCTTCACAAAATTTTGCAGATTATCAGTAAACATTAACAAACATTTGAACACAACATATCAGATTTTTCAATTCATTTTTAAATTAATTATTTACTCGTGCATTTTTTATTTTTGAATGTTGACTCCAACATGCAATGTAATTTTGATTTTAAGATTAAAAATACTTTTTGCATCAGAAAATTGTCACATAACACATGCGAAATCTCTATAATCTTATAATAACCTACAGATAATTATCAAACATATTTTAGAAAAGAACTTTATATTTTATGTTATTTTCACCCTTGTTTCTCTGTATGAAGTTGGTCTATTCAACCAACCTCGTAATCACCATAAAAAATTAGGAAATAGATATAAATTACACTTTTTTCATTCTAAAATGACTACAAATTGTAACACGAAACCACAAGTGTTTAAACATTTTAAAATTTAAATCTCATAACATTATAGATATATAAAAATCTATTTTTATTTTATTCAGCTTTCAGCAATGTCTCACTAACATTACACAAGTTAAATGATGCAGTGCACATTCACTCATGTTACAGTGTTTAAAAATATAAAACTGGCCTTTACAAAGTCACATCTTGGCTGTGTTCTAGTGGACCAGTATTTTGTAAAATACAGTCACATTTTGGTTATAATACATTATATATATACATTATATACTTGAACCTGATGATGACAAAACGTTGTCGAAACGTCGTACATTTGCTGTTATGTTAAACTTATATTAAAGTTTTTCTTCATTACCAATTCAAGCTGTCTCCAACCATTATTATATATGTACATACATTACTATTTACAAATAAGTTATGAAATTTCAGTTATTTTTCTTAAAAACCTAGAACAGTAACTAAAGAAGTATAGAAAACAATTATCTCTTCTAGTTATGATAATTGAAGAATTTTCCCAGCAGCTTTTTTTAGCAGTAACACATTTATATGGTAGACCTACATAAACTGCATACATGCAGCTGTACTCATTTCACTACTGTTTGCCACTTTGTCAAGATGGTAATTGCTTTACCAGGCAAAATCACATGACTGTGACATCACACCAACCTCAAGAATAGCAAATGGGACAAAAGACCACATTATGCTATCACATCAAGTATATTTTAAGGCCTTACTAAATTCGTTACTATTTTTTTTTTTTTTTGTAAATACAAATAAAAAAAATTCAAGTTTGAGATCATACTCTATTATTTTCAACTTCAAGTTTTTAATTATAAACACATGTTACACTGAGTTTTAGACTTAGACTCAGAGGACAAACTTTCTGCCATTAGTATAATTTATATTATCTAAGTCAATAATCGGTGACAAAATTACTCTGTCAGTGTTACAGTTAATGAGTTATGTGACTGACATTTACTGATATTAGTAACGGCAATGACTATAAATTACACTACTGCCATTACATGTATAAGTTTTTAGGCTTAACACTAGTAGAACTACACAGACTAGTCAAGTTCAACTTCAAAGTAGTGCTACTGTAGTCTGTATCATGATTCAATATAAATGTAATTTATATAACTATAGCAAAAACAATTTAATACTACTTTATTTACCTGACTTCGTGATTGAACCTGAGGATGCTCTAGTTGAGAAGTCTGAGTTTGTGAAGGAAGGGTGAAATCAGTGAAATCAAATTCTGAGCCTTGAGTATCAGCACCTAAAAGATCAGCCCCTTCTTCCGTGTCAAGAAAAGTCAAGGTTTGAGAGCTAGGTCCATAAGCATCAACACTCATATTTTATAATTTTGAAAATGAAATTAGCCCAAAGCAGATTAATCAACGTTCTAATAAAACCTTAAATAGTAACCAAACACTGATGTTATTATGTAATGTTAACGTTAAATTTACTACAATTTGACTAAGACTAAAATCCATAACCATACGCCATTCCACTCGTGCAATTGGTTTCATCTAACTGCTGTGACGTTATTGATGACGTAATATAACGCCTAAGTAAAGTTGTATTTAAATAAAAGGAGTATATAAAAATAAAAACAAGAATATATACGCCATTAAATATTTTGTAGATGGTAGCAATCAGATTAAATTTTAAAATTTTTATGCGTAAAAACAATGTTGTGTGACATTTATATCATTACATCATATGTGCCTAACCATATTTAAATAAATGTCGTTAGACGATTATCGTGCTAATGAATCTCTTACAAATCCTTTTATACAAATTCTGTCGAAAAAAAAACACATCGTGTTAAGTTGGAGGTTAGTAAGGTTCATAACCGGATCGTTGACGTAACCCATGCGCTCATTGCTTAGTTGAAAAAGATTGGGCTATGTCGTAATCAAATATCACAGTTCAACAAACTGCAAAGAAAGATAATATTTATGAACGCTTATCAAAAACATCAGGAGATATTTCACTCCCAGGTTCATTAAAATCATTATTTTAGTAAAATTTCATTTATAATACAATGACATTGTTTTTCCTATATTACATTCAACCACAATTATCTGAAACACGTTTCCTCACATCACCGTAGTGTTAGACTGATTTTGACATTACAATCCAGTTTAGACCTTGACGTTTTGAAGGCATACGACTGTTGGACACAATTGTTATGACATAACAATATACGTGTAGCCTAATCCTTGACTGTCTAGCAATAATATACACACTTTTAAACTAGCAGTTATATTTTGACATAACACTCCACTCGATAATTTGATTGTTTAGCATTTGTATACACATAATTGAACTAGTAGATGAATTTTGACATAAGTTCACTTTGTAAGATGGCTGTCAAGCATTCATATCAAATATGTGGGCATATCATCTGTTTACTACATACTGACACATGTATATCTGTTATCAAAAACATCAGGAGATATTTCATATTGTTATGACATAACAATATACGTGTAGCCTAAACTTTGACTGAATGACAGCAATATGATAAGTTGGAGGTTAGTAAGGTTCATAAACGGACATATGTATTTATCGTTGACGTAACCCATGCGCTCATTGCTTAGTTGAAAAAGATTGGGCCATGTCGTAATCAAACACAATAAGTGTGTAAACAAACTTGTGTCAGAAGTGGGATGGGACCCAACGTTGCTGTGTGGACTTCAGGGCTCTTAACAGTATAGCCCACTGCCAAGAATTGATGATACTGTTGCGTCAGCGAGTCACATGACTAGTGTGACGCCACGTTTCTAGAACTATCCCGTACCTTG